TGCAGTGTCCCCCCTTTCCTCCTGCCTCTGATGGGTCAGACCCTGAGAGTGAGCTCTGCTTTCCACTTCACGTGGTGCATGGATGTGGTGACCGAGGCAAGGGCAGCCTGCCAAGGTGATGGGGAGAGCTGTAGTGCCCATTTGCAGGAAAATGAGCAGTGCTGAGACCCCAGTCCTGCAGCTTTGGTTATAAACCCCATGTTTGTCTCTCTGAAAGGGGGAGAGTGAGGAAGTGGGATGAGTTGGTGAGAACAAGGGAAGGCATCGATTCTGCTCTGTGGGCAGGCTGCCAAGGCAGAATAGCTGCAGTAACTGCGTTCAGGGAGCACTGTGGATCCCAGCACTGGGAGCTGTTGAGTCGCTTCAGTGCAACCACCAGCTGATTTTCCACAGATCAATAGACCCCTTCCTAGCACGCACTGGCTGAGCCTTGTCTCTGTGCTCACAGGCATGGGGGACTGAGCCTATGGGCCATCTTTCTGCCTTTGCCTAGCGGGGCCTGTGAACATGGTCTAGAAACATGACTGGTGTGACAGCTAGATCCTTGACAGTCGCTCATGGGGCAGGTTAGCTTTGGAAAGAGATACCTTTCTCAGGGTAAGGTAGGTGACCCCCAAACAGGGTCAAGATGAGTACAAAGAACACGTGAAGGTTGGTTGGAGCAGGCAGGTTATTTGGGAGTGGTTTGCGTGGCAGCCCCATTCTAATGCCCTTTTCCTTCTCTGTAGCTTCCCTATGAGCTGCAGGACATGGTCAATAAGCATTTGCACAGCACTCAGGAGTCCGCAGGCCCTGGTCAAGAAGCAACTCATACATTGGCTCCATCTGATGTTGTTCCCACCTCGGTGATTGCCAGAGTCTTGGAGAAACCAGAATCTCTGGTTCTGAATTCAGCCAAGTCTAGCAGTGGCAGCTGTCCCATGGCCGAGGATGTCTTTGTGCACGTGGACATGAGTGGTACGCCTCCTGATGCCTGCAGCAGTGCAGGACAGTCGGGGAAGGAGGGAGGAGATGCAGGAAAACAGCAGAATGGTGGCTGCAAGCCTCAGAGCAGTGTGGAGAGTGTGCCGGAGGAGGTGCCTGCCTTTGAGAAGCTAAGCCCGTACCCTACACCATCCCCTCCCCATCCGATGTACCCTGGGCGCAAAGTGATTGAGTTCTCTGAAGACAAGGTAAGGATCCCAAAGAACAGCCCCCTGCCCAACTGCACGTATGCTACGCGCCAGGCCATATCCCTCAGCCTGGTGCAGAGTGAAGACGAGAGCTGTGACAGGCAGCGGACGCTCCCCAACAGCCCTGCCTCAGAAGGGCGCCGTTCAGCCTCCAGCTGCTCCTGTCAGCAGTCGCCCAAAGCAGCCCAGCCTCACGGCTCTTCCCAGAGCAGCCCGTTCAGCAGCCCCCCCCAGATCCCCAGCGCCTTTGCCAGCTCCGCCAGCTCCGAGGAGGACCTGCTGGCCAACTGGCAGCGCATGTTTGTGGACAAGGCTCCCCCCACCTCGGAGCGGGTGCTGATGAACCGCACGGCTTTCAGCCGTGACACAGCCCCCGAGCTCCAGAAGAGGTTCAGCCGCTCTATGCAGGAGCTGGGTAGGGCGGCCTCAGTTTATTCGGATGGTGAGGAGTCTGCACAGAGCTGCAGCTGGACTGTGAGCCGGGACTCAAGCGTGGAGACGGACAGCACTGAGTCCAGAGCCCGCAGGAGCCACTTCTCCTCAGACTATGGTACAGATTTCTCCCAGGATGAAGCTCAGAAGCTGTTGCAGGAAAGTGGTGGGGGTACCACTGAGCCTGGAAGCCCCTCACCAGAGAAGCACAAGGACTATGTAGACCTGGGCTTGCCTGAGAGCCCAGCTGAGGAGAGAGAAATGTTGCTCCAGGGAAGCAAGGAGAGCAACCAAGGAGGTGCCCAAGAAGAAAGTGGAGAAGGCAGGGTCAAGCCTCCCTTCAGTCGGCCGCACCGCAGTCCCAAGAGGATGGGTGTCCACCACTTGCATCGCAAAGACAGTCTGACGCAAGCCCAGGAGCAAGGCAACCTTCTCAGCTGAGGCAGGGCAAGAAGCAGCCACATGCTGCAGAGCTGTGGGATGCCTCCATCTGTCCAATTCTGAGGAAGGAACCCCCTTTAGTACCCTCCTCCTGGGGGGCTCTGCTCTGAAATTTTGTATTTACTCTCTTCTTTTGCTACCTGGAAGAGCTGGAGTCCACCTTCCCCAGCACCTCAGACCCACAGTACTAGCACACACAGTGTGCAGAAGCGCACCCACTGCCCTAGCACAGTCGCAGCTCTCTTCACAGCCTCACACTGGTGCCTGTACCGGAGCTCATTCTTGGTACCCCTCGTCCTGGTGCCTGTGCCTCTTAATGCTCACATCTTCCTTCCCCCTTCCCACTCAGGTACCTGAGGCCCTGGGTGCTCTCATGCTGGTTGCCTGCAGCCGCTCTGCTCTCTTTTAACTTGTGCCAACAGGGCAGAGTGCCTGTGTGGTGGTGTCTGATTCCCTGGGAGCCCCCAGGGGCTGTGAGTGGGGCACCAGGACTCTCTCAGCAGATGGCTCTGTGCCCCTGGGGATGTGCTGGGATTTCTGGTGTCTCATTTTCCTGCTGGTTTTGTTTTCTCCAGCTGCCCTCTGGGTGGTTCTCCAGAATCTGCCTCTGCAGGTCCCCATCGCTTGCCTCCTGCATTGGGCTCAGCATCCAGGCCCCCCCAAGGCAGTGCACGGATGCTGGTGCTGTGGCGTGGGGCATGGGTGCTGTTTGCTGGGGTGGTTTGGGAGGCACCACCTGGGCACTGGGATCTGTGTTTGTGTGTCCCTCACACCTTCCCCTGCTCTTCGTGCTGTTGTTTTGTTTGTACAGTGCTGATGCTTTGCTCTTGGGTGGGCTTGCTTTCTTCTTTTCAAGCCTTTGGTTTTGGGGTGTATTGTTTTTCCTTTCTCCCCGCCCTGCATAAACAGACACAGCCGCTGGCAGCCAGTCTGATGCCTGCATTGAGGGTGTGTTGAGGAGGCTCAGATTGGCGCTGTGCTTCCCTCTGATCCTGGCTTCCAACCTGCAGAAACCCCTCCAGACTCAAGAACAAGGTCTTGCTCCAGGCGATCAAGGTGTGATGGATGCCACTGGGCTCGGTGCAGGGCTGGCAGGGATGTGAGGGCAGCTCCCTGCAGACACACTACCTCATGGCTCAGCAGCAGCCCTTTGCCAGGGGCTCCTCGCACACCCCCTTCTCTGGGGGCTCCAGGCTGGCTCTGGTGCCTCTCTGGGGCCTCCCCTTCTGGATAGGGCCTGTCTGTGCGTTTCTCCTAGTGTAGTGCGATAATGTGTGACTTTTCATCTCAGTCTTTTGTGCTCAGTGTCTTGTTAGGGGGGAGGGAAGGGGAGAGGTCTGTAGATGTAGATTTTTTTTTGAGGGCTTACAAAGCCCAGGCATCCTATTTTAACTGTCCTGTGCCCTTGTCTGTCTGGTGTTTCTTGGCTCCCCGAGGGGTGCAAGGCAGGGTAGCCTGGTTCCCTGTGCCATGCTCCCCCTTGAATCCACTGGCTGTCCTCAGCCTGCTGTCTGGATCTTGGGTTGGGTTTGTGTTGTCCTCCCACCCTACTCAGCGAGGGCTCTTCACTGGGCTGTAACCAGCAGCCCTCTCTCTGGGAAGGGAGCTTCTGTTCATAGCTTACAGCAAGATGCGTGGCCAAGAGCTGCCTCGGGCCCTGCTCCCCTCCTGAAACCCCTGTCTCTGGACAGGGCCTGCAGCTGGGGCCAGCCAGGGCTTCAGCTTGAGCCTGGAGGCTCCAGGGCCTGTGAAAGGGAGCTGCAGGCGGCTGTGGTGGTTCTGTAGGTTGCTTTACGTCCCCTGCTGCCTCGTTTCCCACCTCCAACATTGTGGAGCTGATGCCACCCTCTGGCGGGGACTTGGAACTCGGTGTTTCACTACAGTATTTTGCTGGATACCTGTGCAAACAGGCTGCTGCTGAGAGCAGGAGCCTCCTCTGAGCCTGCAGGGTGTTCATCCACCCGGACCTGAACGTGGTGGTGAGGTCCTTGCTTTTGCTTTCATCAGCTGCTCCACTGCTGCATTTCTTCTGTTCTTCTGCAGCGTTGCTGAGGGCTTGTACGTGCAGTGGCTGCCAGCTCCTGCCTCACAAACATCACCTGGGCTTGGATGCTCACCAAGTGAGCTCCTCTGGCTCCCTGAGGGGGAGGTGTTGCCCCGTTTTCCGGTGTGCTTGTCAGGGGACCAACCCCACTCTTGCTGAAGCAGCTAGCCTGATGGTGCTGGGCAGAGCCAGCCTCCCTCTGCTACCTTTGGTCAAGGCAGGCTTAAAAGAGAAATGGAGGGGTGGCAAAGGGGTGCCCAGTGCCTCACCAGACCCTTCTTCATAGCATTAGGCTGCTGGCAGAGATTGAGGGGAAGCCTCGAGAGGAGCAGAGCCCTCTCCCAGTGGCCATGGTGCCTGACCTCTGCACTCCTGCTGGCCTCTGGCAGTATTGGCTCTGGGCCCCTGAGCTGACCCATTTTCAGTGTCCCAACTCCAGACTGTTAATCTGTAACTAATGTGGTTTTTTTCTGACATTTTCAAACTGATGTATATTTTAAGACCAGAAATAAACTATTTTAAAAGTAGGTGGCAGTGGCTACAGTGTTCTCTGTTGGCTAAGACCTGAACTGATCCTGAGCATGTGAGGGAGCAGATCCTGTTGTGGTACAGTGTCCCAGGGTTGCTGAACTGTGTGTGCTACTCATTAGCTCTCCCAGGGAAGAGCGATCCTGTGACCTGTAAGCTTTCCAGGAAGCTGTGAACTCATTGGTCATCCTGACTGCCCACTTTAGCAACAGCCTGATTCCAGGTGCTTGTGCAAATCAAGTCATCTGTGTTGGAGAAGAGGTGCAATCCCAGGCAAGGAGTAATGTGTGGGGATGAGCTGTGGTTTTCTTCTTTAATCTTAATCCAGTCTCTGCAAACTTTGGTTATGAATGTAGACTGTCAGCTCAAAGATCAGACTGAGCCTGCAGACCAGAATGCATTGTTCACAGCAGCATTTGTGTCATTTCTGACTCAGAAGCTCACAGCAGCTTAAAAAAAGGGCAGATTATTTGACCAGGCAAGTTTTGAGAAACACTGAAAACGATGTGGGCAATTTTCACATTACTTAAAGGCTGTAAAGGTTTGACTAGTAAAAAACCTCTGCAGTGAAGCTTACTGTGCTGTAAGCAGCCTCAGGGTTACTCATAAAATTCTGCCTACCCCATTTCAAGCATTTTGCTGGCTGAGAGGTCAGAGGAGTGTGATGAAATTTCCTCCTTCTCCCAAGTTATGCTGCCTGTGCCTTTCTGACCTGGGGGTATGGAACAGAGGAGCAGTTTCTTGTTTCTTTGTCCCCATAATTAATGATTTTATTCTGTGTTCCCTTGAGTAGCAGCTGCTGCCACAATCTTCCAACCTAATATGAGCCTTGAAACATGATATTCCTTACCTAGCTCCAGCAAGAGCCACCTGGCTGAGCAATGAAAACTAGTGCTGAGGCAGCCACCTGGTGCCAACCTCCATGCAGGAGGGGGTCTAATTTCTGCTGCTGGACAGAGGAAAAGCCTAGGGGTTACTAAGACCAACCTCCCTGGGGGGCCAGGTGAACATCCTCGGACCCTGCCCTCGCAGGGGGCAGGAGAGCTCACGGGCAAGGCAGGCTGCTGCTGGTGCTCTGAGGCCCCCACACACCTCCTGCCTGTTCCTGGTACCCACCAGTGTCTGCCCCATTGCAGGGGGTGCAGAGTGATGGAGGGGACACTGCCATGAGTGGTGCCATGTCTGTGACCTTTATAAAACTCTCATTGCAACAGCAGTACAAGCAATAGAAAGAACATCTCTTATACACATCTGAATAAATACAGCCTGCGCCCTGCGGGCACAACAGGGCACAGGGGGGAGGCAGGGCAGCGTGAGCTACACAGGCAGCGACTGGACAAGCACAAGCGGCCAATGTGGTGCGTGACAACACAGAGACGTGTGTAGAGATTCGCTTGGGCCAGGCTCCGGCACTCAGAGAACCAGGAGAGGCATCAACAGGACGTGAAATGTGTGTGAAGACAGCAGGGGCAGCCCGCCGGTGGCAGGGAGCTGTGGATGCACCTGCCCGCGGGCACAGTGCTCTTCTCGGCAGAAGCAGGCAGGGTAGCCCAGCTACATTTCTGTTTCTGCTAAGAGGCTGTCACCGAGACCTGACGTCATCAGGACCATCTGGGAGCTGGAATCTGTGGTGAGAGAGGGAGGAAACCATGAGCTGCTCGGGCTGCCAGAGAGTGCTGGGCTTGTATTCCAGATCCAGAGGTGAGGAGGAGGAATTATAGTGCAGCAGGGTGGGAAACAAACTGCTGAGAGGACTGTGAGATTAAGTAGTAACTATATCTACTCTGGCCATGCAGCAGAACAAAATTGATGTCTGGGGAGGAGGGAAGGCAGAGACAGCAGTAAGAGCCCTGGGTGGGGAATCTGCATTTATCTTGGCTATGGAAAGGAGCATCAGCTCTAAACCCTCCCCACACACACTTGCAGGTGACAATGGTTGTGCTGACCCCACTGTGCATTACCCAGCACTGCACAGGCCTTTAAATCTGCACTCACCCTGTGTCTTTTCATCCAGAGAGTGTCTAGGTGTGACAGGGCTGGCAGGCTGCAAGCCAGCCAAACCCACCTAGGGCAGTGGTACTGCCTTCCCAGAAGCAGGGAAGGCAGTGGGCAAGCAACCATTTCAGGGCAGCAGAGGCCTGGAAATCCTGACCTTCTGCTCTGCATGAATGGAGGGTTTGTGCAGCCCTTCCTGCCTCAGGAAGGTGAGGGCAGCTCTCTGGCTCTCTGGTGGCACAGAGCGCCAGCCAGGAACTCTTCCCCACGCCAAGTGAATCAGCTGCAAGGAGGAGGGGCACGCACAGCAAGTAAGAAACTCAGCAGGGTACCAGTTTCCCATCCAGAAGGCTTTATAAGCAGAAAACAACCCTGTTTTTTCCTGTAGGCAAGGGACATATTTAGTGGCTGTGTTTTTTGTGTGATCCCATTCTACACATTGGAAACTGCTGCGTGGGATCAATATTTTGGGGATTAATTTCTGGAAACTGGATCCAAAACTTGGCCGGAGCTGCTAGCAGAAGGATTTTTATGGTGCTAATAAATGAGGATCAGATGTTTTGAGGCTGAGGGAGTGGTTGGGTTTGTCTCCTGCTAGTCTGATAAGAGAACTGGGAGGGAAGAAAGGACAACTAAAGGTAAAAAGTCCAACACAAAATGAAAACCAGCAGGATCAGGGCACAGGCATGACAATATACAGTGTCATATATACAAGCAATACACAACAGGCTACTGCTATCTCCATAATACGCCTTTTTGTATGTTACAAGCAACAGACAGACTGTGGCACCTGGCTAACCCTTCACATGTTTGGGATGCAGAGATAGGAATAGGTGATGCTGTGCGGATTGCAGTGAGGTTCAGGAAGCATGAGGAATGACATGAGTTTTGGCTAGGATATCTGGCAAAGGCCCCTGAGATCCTTGACGCTCCTGCCCTTGAGTTTTAAGACTGCACAAAGGTTTCATTCCTGCAGCATCAGGGAAATGCCTCTGAGGCACCATTGCCACTCCTTGCAGCAGCTGCATTGTCCTTGGAGGCTGCTTTTCCAAGTGCAGCTCAGCCCAATGTTACTTAACATGAAGGCTGCACCTGGAGGCTGTCTGGATGCCAGTTCACAGGGATAAAGGACAGACTCCATTCACCTGCCCTACCACAAAAGACCAGACACCCCAGTTCCTGCCTGTCAGCCCCTGCCCGCAGCCCAGGTCCCAGAGCTCTTACTGTTCTGGCAGATCCAGGGGTTCTTCTCCCTGGCTGTGACTTCGCGAGCCTCTGTCTCCTCCTCTTCCTCACCCTCTGAAAGCAGGTCAGAGATCTGCTGCTGTAGCTCAGGACTGATGTTGTTCTCTGCCAGGATGAGTGTCCGTAGAGCTGTGGGGTAATTCTCTACCATATCCAGCAAGGTCTAGATGGAGAGCGAGATAAACAGGCTGTCAAGCAGCACACACAGCAGCTAGGCTGAGCAGAAAGAGCTTCAATGCTCTGTCTCCCTGCAAACTCCAGCCCTCCTCTTCTTACCTCAACCTTCCCTTGGCCATGACCTCCCTGCACCAGGCTTTCTGAGAGCCTGAGAACTTCCCATCTTTCTGTGGGAACAGCTGAGCCTGGATTTCCTGGCTCTATAGGCTAGTCACCTCCTCCTGCTGGGAGCTGGGACTCTGAGAGAAGAGCCTGTGCTAACAAGCCTTGGCCTGTATCTGTCCACAAAGCTTTAGCTCTGATCCTCAATCACAAACCCAACCCTTTACTTTCTCCAAACTACAGAGAGTTGTGTGTTTTTCCCTGATGACGTGGGAGAGGTCCAGGAGCCCTAGGTCAGAACTGTGCCTCACAATCTCCTCCTGTAGCTGTAAGGGCCAGGGGAAAGCAACATCACCCCTGGGCACAGGGAGGGAAGGGGTGCCATGGACCTGGGGAGGGGATTGGAAGCAGGTGTAGGTCCCGGGGCCTCTATGAACAGTTAAGACCTATGCCCTTGAGACATCAGTGATGCTGTAGAGTAACAGTGTGCTCTCATACCTGGGCTGACTGGTTGGTAAGTCCTGTTCCCTCCAAGTCCAGAACTTCGAGGGTACGACTGGAAGCCACAGCAACAGCGAGCATCCCTGCTACCTGGTCACCTGTGGGATAAGCAAAGCGGGGCTGTCAGCAGCGCCTGCCTTCTCTCATGTAACACTACATGCCTTCATGGGCCTTGGGCTGTCATGGAAACATCCTCCGACTATTTAGAAATCTCTTGATTTCCAAATCTCAGTTACCCTGTGGGTGGGGAGGGAGTAAGCTGTTAACTGAGAAAAGAAACAAGGTAAAGGTACACCATTTTGTAGTAATGGGAGCAGTCCCCAATTATCAGGGGAACACAAAGTAACACAGTGAAATTGGGTTTATTCCACAAGGATCCATATCTCCCCAGATATTTTTCCTACTCGAGAATGTGAGGGCCTTTAACAATCCCTGTAAGGCATCCCAGACGCAGAATAAGGAGGTGAATACCTCAGTCTAGGGGGAGGCTGTAGCTGGACAGAGGACCCTGCACAATCTCCCTGGAAAGGGGACAGGCTTTGGGGGTGGCTGCAGCAGGACCAGGAGCATTAAAGATTGATGCTGCTAAAGAGACAGGGCTCCAGCATGTTCTCCTGATATTCCCGGGCGAGTGCCAAGATACCGTACAACTGTGACACCTTCTCTTGGAAAGAAAAAACAACAGGCTGCTGCCAGGTAACACCCTGGGGCCCTTCCTGCCCAGGAGGAGGTACCTGGTCAAGCAGACAGGGCCTGCAGGGAGGCTCCTGTTTCCAGACCAGACTGGGTGAGGAGAGACTGGCACTCAGGGAGGCACGGCCTGGTCTCCTCCTCACCACCTTGCATCAGAGCTGAAGAGAGTTGGTTTCTATGGCAACGAGTGCCAGGCTTTCCTCCTCCTCCTGCTCCGCCAGGAAGATGAAGGGGGGAGTGCAGGGACATACTGCATCTGCCAAACCAGCATCAGGCCCCAGGGCTTCAGGAACAGGGGACACGTGGAGGGCCAAATATGATGACAAAGGTAGTGGAGTGGGCAAGGCACAACTTCCTCTCTGCGCCTCCCTGCAGGGCATGTGGCCACCTCACACAACCAGAGCAGGAAGGGTGGCTTTCCCTACACTGAAGGCACCTGTCAAGGTGAACTCACTGCTGGGGATCAGAAGGCATCTATGCAAGAAACTGCCCCATCCCACTGGTAATGCTCTACCACCACCTTTGTAGATCTTGGTCCAGCCACCCACTGGTGCAAACTGCACAAATGCTGAGAGACAGGAGTGCAGCATCCCCTGCTCCTCCTCCCTGGCCCCCCAGCTTACCTAGGGGGTTGTAGTCCAGGTTCAGCACACGGAGCTGGGAGCTGTGAGCCACTGCAATGGCCAGGCGCCCCCAGCCTTTGCTTGTGACACCTGGGTTGGCGCTCAGAGTTAGCTCTTTGAGGCCTGGAGAAGAGAGAGAAGCCAAGCCAGAGCCTTAGGGTCACCGAGGCAGTCTCAGGGGAACTAATCAGAACAGTTTTGGGTCATGTCTTCTGTTCTCTGACAGGCTAAAGGGTTTGGTTTACGCTGACAAACACCACGACATAGTTCACTAAACAGTGAAATATTTCACTGCTTTCAGCAGTAGCTCTTCATTTGCCCATGCTGCGACCGCCCTATTTCTCTGCTCCCATCCTGAGTCCTGCTTACCCTAAATAGAATGGAAACAAGTAAGGTGTGTGCGAGATGACTGACAAGAAGGAGGTGGCATGAGGTGACAGGTTGGAGAGGAGATAACAGGGACAGTAGGCTCTGAAGCCTGCAGCTGGGGGCGGGGGTAGCCAGCAGAGATAACAGCATCAGTAGCACTGTAAGCACACATCTAGAAAGTGCTGGGGAGCGGTGGAAAGCACTTTGTGAGTCAGGAGAGGGGTGGTGTTACCTCAGCACATGGCAGCTCTCAGCTTAACTAGCCTGCTGGCCTCTGACCACCAAAGATCATCCCTTGCAAAGATCTGAGCTTTGGCATTAAGGTTATTACCATGCACCTACACACTCAGGGAGTGCACCCGCAAGCAAGGCCAATTCCCAGGCAGTGACAATAAAGGCAGGTGCTGAGGTGGGGGCACACCATATATTTATCTACGATCATTATCAACACACAAATGCAAAATAATAAATTCAAAGTCCAAGCTGTCCCCTCCTCCAGTTTCAAACGCTCCTGTCACGATCAAGAAGCAACCTGTTGGGCCCTGAACTCCAAACTGTCAGCAGGGCAGATCAACAGCAGAAAGTCCCTTCCCAAGGGAATTGCTCCTCTGTTGCTTGGCTTTTCTGCTTCAGTTCCTCAGCCCAGGCAAACCATAGAGCCGGCCTCCTCCAGGGCTGAGGCTTTACTGCTGTGTACATCTGCTCTGTGTGAAAGCTCCACTGGTGGTCGTGCAGCCCACAGCCCCTGGTGCTTACCGGACTTGGCCCCGTCAGGCGGCAGGAGCCCACAGATAAGGTTGATGCCTTCATCACCCAGCATGCAGTCTCCTAGATCCAGAGCCACCAGCGAGGGGTGGATGGAGAGAGCAGGGTTGAGGAGGGCCAAGCCTGCATCTGTCAGGGGACTCCCATGGAGGCTGCGCAGGTAAAAGGGAAAATTACGATGGAGCCTTCGTCCCCGGGGGCTAACTAACCTTGGTGGGGAGGGAGAAGCAGACGGAATGAGGAGGATGATAAATGCTAACCCCACGTGGGGGAAAATCACTGGGAAGCCTCAGCCGCTACGGTATCCCCCCTGGGGTGTGCAGGGGATGCCAGCGGGGCAGGGGCAGCCCCACCACCGGGCCAGCCACGCTGGAGAGGCTCAGACTGAGAGGGCCAGGACCGTGCCCAGCCTGTGGGGCAGAGGCGGCTCCGTCCCGGCCGGATGACGGGCAAGGGGTTACAGCGTCAAGGGCATTTTTCCTCCGACAAGGCTTAAATTCAGGGATCAGCCCGGATTTGAGAGCCCTAAAAGACCCTTCCCCGCCCGGAGGGGGCCAGGGGCACCCCGCGATGTACCCGCCCCGCTGCACTCACAAGAGGGACTGCACGGAGCGGTTCGTCTTCAGGGCCTCGGCCAACTGCTTGACGCGGTTGATGTTGGAGACGATGCCCAGGTTGAGGTTGAGCTGGGCCAGGGAGCGGGACTCGGCCACCCCCCGGCACACATGCCCGAAGTCCCGCTCGGAGAGCTGGCAGCCCCGCAGTGACAGCAGCCGCACCGAGTTCTCCCGCAGGCTCTCGCAGATGTCTCGGATCTCAGCCCCCGACAGCGTCTCCCCGGAGATCTGGATGGACCCCGGCAGCATCTTCCCCCCGATCGGGGACCCGCCAGCCGCCGACAACCGCCGACCCCGTCGCGGCGGTGGGGCGCCGGGGGCGAGCCGCGCTGCGCGCTGCGGGCCGGGGCGGTCGCCAACGCCGCCGCCGCCGCCGCTGCTGCTGCTGCTGCTGCCGCCGCCGGGCAGTCCCGGCCCGGCCCACCGCGGCCCCGGGGGCGTCACCGCGCAGCCTTACCGGCGGCCGCGGGGCCGCCCCGCTCCACCCGGGCGGCGAGACCCAGGGGAGCCATCGGCGGGGGCTAATCCGCACCGGCGCCGGGCTCTGAGCCCTGCTGGGCTGGGCTGGGCTGGGCTGCACCGCACCACCCCGCTGCGCTGCTCCAGCAACACCGGGCGGGGGCTGAGCAGCCCCGTAGCTCCCCTCCCCGCCCCGCTCCGCTCCGCCCGCACCTGCCGGGCCGCCCCGCCCCGCCTCCCGCCTGCCACCGCTACTGGCCCTCCTACCTCCCGGGGCGGGCCCGCACCGCCCACCGCCCCTCACCTCGTCATCCGCCGGGCAAGGCCACCGCCTCCTCGCCGAAGGGGGTGTGCGTGGGGGACCCCTATCCCACAGCGGCTTTCCCCGCCGCCATCTTGGGCCCCGGCACCACTCGAAGCCGGTGAGGGCGACGCTGGCGCCTGCCGGCTCCTGCCTGCTGCCTTGAGGAGACAGCGGGGCTGAGGCCGTCCGGGGCTGCATCCCTGGCGCTGAGGGGGTGCAGGAGCAGAGGGAGAGTGGGAGAAGATCCTGGGAAGGGCGCTCCCTGCTTGCCCTGCTACCACTTGGGCAAGGTGCCAAAGGCACTGGGCCATGGTGTACTTGGTCTGAGGAACAAAAGTCTTCCACCAGCTTTGGCAGTGTTTAAACCCACTACACCCTAAGCTTGGACCCAGGGGTTGATGGTGAGGTTGGTGTGAACCACTCTTCACAGCCAGGGCTTGCAGAGCTGGTGCTTGGAGGCAGCTGGTGAAAGGTGGAGTGCTGGGGAAGTGCCACAGGCTTCCTTATTCCTGCAGCACACAGCCTGTTCCCTCAGCCCCACCTGAAGTGTGAGGGATGCACCTCACTCCCTGCTCATTTACAGGTACAGATCAGAGGGATTTGTCCCCTCTACCCCCTCGTTGGGTAATCCTGTACTTGGAGAGAAATAGGAAGCAGGGCCCCAGCGTTTTCAACTCCACTGAGCTGAAAAAGGAAGCCAGTGATGTGGAAATTAGGTTAAACCGCCTAAGTAGGCAGCTTTTAGCACATAACTAATCTGGCTGCTGCATACAGCAACGCTCAAGTGAATTCCAGTCTGGTGGGTAACTCTGGGACAAACCCAGGCTCCTCTGCTTGGTTTGCAGGCCTGGGTGGAAAAGAGAGGATGGAAAGTGAGGGGAAAAATGGGAGAGGATGGGGACATGAAGCAGTTCTCCATTTCAGTGGAGGAGCAGGTCACCATTGCTGAGGGCTGCATGTTAGGTCCTGGATAAGACAAGGAGAGCAGCAGATAAGAAGCTGGACTTGGATGTCAGCTTTAAGACTGGCTGCAGCATCTAACTTACAGTGTAGGTGTCATCATACCCTTTGAGTTTTTTGGAGTATTGCTGTTCTTTAGAGCTATCTACATACTTGCATGAGCTTGATTCTGTACCTGCAAGACACATCAAAGCAGAACACTGGCCTGGCAACACGTCTGCACTGGGATATGAGCAGCAGCTGTGAGCATCCAGTTGTGTTACAGGTGGTGGCTTTCAAAAACTGAGCAACTAATCTCTAAGGTCACATTAAATGGTCCAGGTGAGAACCAGATCCTATGCATTCCAGGGCTGTAAGGGGCAGAGGCTAGGTGTCAGAGTGGTGGGCAGGGGGGTAGCCGAGAAAATAGCAGCTGCTGATCTGTACAGGTTGACTGAGAGACTGCACTGAGTCTCACCTTGTAATTAGCTCCAGGCACTAATTAACCCATGCTTCATTGAACAGGCTATTATTAGAGAGGTGCTTGAAGGAGAGCCCCTGGGATGTGTCCCACTTCAGTTGACAGCAGAGGCCTTGAAGTATTGATGAGGATGCCCTAGTAGTGGCATCTTCACTGCATGTTGTCAAGAGCAAGAGCACATTCAGGAGACAAGGGTCCTACCCTGCTTTATGCTCAAACACGTTATGAAAAGTGGCACGGGAGTTAATGGTTCAAAGCTTTGGCTCTTGGCTCACTGAACCTAATTAAGGGCTATGGAGAGGGGAATTTGGCAATGGTATTTTGTGAAGAACTAGATATTGCCTCCTTGTCATGTGCAGTTATGAAGCAGGTATGGGGAAGGTAGTTTATTGTTTACCTAATGGGGGCACAAGGAATGGCTGACTCTCTTGACTGATGTCATTAAGTGCTAACACTTAAAAAAACAGTGAATGAGGAGCAGCTACAGTGAGACTAGATGCAGGAAGGAATGCAAATGGGAGAAGATACGGCTGCCTGTAACCCAAAACACATTGAGGTTGCAACAATTAGTGCAACAAGGAGGGACTCGAAGGGTTGGACTCCCAGGTACTGCAGAGGAGAGGAGATCAGGAATGCTTTAATATACACTTTATCTTCCTCTTTCTAGTCTGACACCTTGACATGATTTTTTTCATATTTAATAAAAAGGGGCTTACACAAGTCTCAGCAACCTTCCTCAAAAGGGAGAGGTGATGGGAGGGGAATTATTTCAGATTTGCTGCAGGGGAGGAATTGTTTTGGATTTGCTGCAAGAGCCATGGCAGGAAACAAAGGCAGAGATAGTCTGGCATAATAGGGCTGTAAGGCTTGTCCTGATAACTAGACTTCAGTGCTTACTGAAGTCCTCCCACAAGGACTTTACTAGGGCTGCATGCTCAGCACCCTCCCTGGAATTGCAGCGCACATGTATTTCCCTGCAAAAGTGCATTATCTCTGTCAGCAAAAGGAGATGCTGAAGCTCTCAGCCGAGTACTGTATTTCTGGAAGCACAGAACAGTTCAGCTTCCAGCTGCTCATGCACAGAGAATTAATCAGGCCTGAAGAACTGGAGCAGAGCAAGCCCCATGGCTTCCAAGAGAGTTGTCACCCTGGTCATCTGTCCCCAGCTGACATGGCACAGACTGCACAGGGGAGGCACAAAGAGCTCACTGCTCTCTCCTGTGCTTTGAGTGAAAGCACAGGGCACAGCTTCACTCCTCTGATGTAGGTAAGTGGCTAGATGTTGGAGTGGTGCACAGCTCTTCTCCAACAGTGTCTGTAGCTCAGCAGTGATAGGAGTTCGGCACAGAATGATTTTTCTTCTTGGCTGGACTTATTCTGGTGACAATTGTCTCTTTCTGCTTTCCTTCACCCCCTGCCTGTGCTTTGAGAGTTGCACCAAGAGAAACAGACCCATTCTAGGCTGCCAGGGCAAGAAATATGAATCAGAAACCAACCTCCCTTGGAATTATAAAGAGGGAAATAGCAGAATCAGCATTACAAACTAACACTTCCTATTTGTCAAATTTGAAAGTAATAAAAGTTCTACAAGCTTAAAGTAGTTCAATTGGTCCAAAAAACGTGGAGACCATAGGCCTAGATAATTAGTTCCCCCAAATAACTTGCTCTGTGTGGTGCTCTTCAGCCAAAATAAATTTCCCAGGGAGGGGGGAAATGAGTGAGAGAACATGTCTGTTATGTATGTTTGTTAGCAGATGAGCTTCTTGCTCTTGGAAGGGGGCACAAATTATGAACTCAGGAATAAGCAACAGTGGAAAGTAGGTCTGTGACTGCAAATGCTCAAGTGACATTTTTGTTTGACTGAAGCAGATGACCAGCCTGATGACAGTAGCTGGCCCTGTCTTCCTCTTTCATTGTACTCTGGCACTAGTCCGAATGCCACTACAGCTGCATCCTCTCCCACTAATAAAAGCAAGGCAGCAAGGAGTGAAGTTCTGATGTGCCATCTGCCTTGTGCACAGCTAACTTGTAAGTTCAAGAAGAAAGGGAAACACCTATTTTTTTTCTTCATCCTGAGCATAAGAAAAAACTTGTAAGGCTCCTCTCCCTCAGTCATCCAGAGCTACAGGCAGAGAAAAGGTGAAAGCCAATTATCAGCCAACAGCTTTCCACTCTTGGACCAGTACAAGTTAGAGCAGTGAGGGAAGGCTACCTCTGAACTATTCAGCTATGAGTTACTGCAGTGCAAGTAAGCCTACACTGGGCTGCTTCACTTCCACATCCTTACTGAAGTTTTCCTGAACCAGTATGCTGGAGATGAATGTGCCAACTCTCTTACCATTTCACACTCCCCAGTTTCTCCCTTAGTTTAATGGAAACACTGCAGAAAAGCTTGCCAGAGGCTCTAAAGCATCCAGGATTCCTTTCAGGAATAAGGCCTAGACCCAGCTTGAAAAGCCAGACAGTACACAGCAGATTGTGTGTCTGGAGGAGCAGGATGCTGCTCAGAGCAGTGAGGTGAAGGTCCCAAGGCTGGAAGACATGAGCACAAGCTGCATGAGGGTGGGCTGAACTAGCCTCTTAATAGAAATATCCACAGAAAAACATGCACAAACATGCTGTCCCTGCAGTCAGAACTGCTGTCCCATGGAGCAACATTGGCAGAATGGTGGTAAGAACACAAGGTGCTGTGAAAACATGGGGACAGATACATTTCTGACATCCATGGGAGAAGGGACAGTGAGGTGAGACAGCACCTTGGATCAAGGGAAAAAAAAGAGGGATCAATCTGGAAAATGACAAGGAAGAGCATATGGTTAAATGTCATGCTGTTCTTGAAAATCGCCACAGAAACTGAAGTTCCTGTTCCTCTGGGCTATGGAAAAGGTGTCCAAGACAGACCATGTATCAAAGAGCATTTAAAGTAGGACAGCAGAAAATTGCAAAGAATCCTGCTTTGAGTCTACGACAGGACAGATAAAGGTGTAGAGAACCAACACCACTCTTCTATTACACAAGTATGCTCAAACATAAAACATCACTCAGCACCAACATCAATTTAATTCTTCCCTCTTCAGGACAGGAACAGGGCAGAGACCCCCGGGGTTACATCAGCAAGCAGAAAGAGGGGCAAGGGACAAACTGTGCTGGGAAATCCCAGCTAAACATCAGGCAACAGAACCACTCTTTACTCAAGACAGCCCAGATCTGGCTGGGGGAAGAGCATAGTTCTTCCCACTCTCTGAGGTGCAGTCCATTCAGCTGCCCAGAACTGCAACCCAAAGGACAGATCCCAGGAAACAAAACCAACTCTTCTTCCTGCTGTTCTGTCCTGTTCCTAAGAGGCAGCAGGTTATTATGGCCCTATGCAGCCCCAAAAGTAGTG